AGATTCACCGAGATAAAAGTAAAGGGGTGTTAGGACTGTCACAAAAGACATACATAGAAAAGATCTTAAAGAAATTCAGTATGCACAAATGTAGTCCTTTACCTGCTCCTATAGTCAAGGGCGACAGATATGGGGATTTTTAATGCCCCAGGAACCAGTATGAGATCGATCAAATAAAAACGGTTCCATATGCTTCAGCTGTCGGAAGCTTGCAATATGCTCAAGTATGTACGCGCCCTAACTTGGCATTTGTTACCGGGTTACTTGGCAGATTCCAGAGCAATCCTGGAACAGAATACTGGAAATTGGTAAAGAAAGTCTTGCGTTATTTGCATGGAACGAAAAGCCTCATGATGACGTATAGAAGATCAGATTCACTCCATATAGTGGGATATTCTGATTCTGACTATGCGGAAGATGATAGAAAATCCACGTCTGGATATGTATTCACTCGCAGGAGAGCTATTTCATGGAAAAGCTCAAAGCAAATCGTCACTACATCGACCACAATGTATGCCGAGTTTGTAGCGTGTTATAAGGCAACGGGGCATGTGAACTGACAAAAGAAGTTCATACCCGGTTTGAAGGTGGTTGACGACATCTATAGACCACTTAAGTTATACTGCGATAACAATCCGGCAGTACAGTATGCTCACAACGATAAGTCAAGTGGTGCTGCCAAACACATTGACATAAAGTATTATGTTGTGAAAGATAAAGTCCAGGATCATGTCATAAGTCTTGAGCATATAAGTACCGAAAAGATGCTCGCGGATCCGCTTACAAAAGGCTTACCACCCAACGTGTTCAGAGAACATGTAGCTAGCATGGATTTAAGGGAAAGCATATAATTTCTAGACAAAAGAAGACCCAAAGTTAAATATCTATTTCAGAACAGAGTGGCGTGTTGTAGCTGTTAAATCTATCGGCAATTAACCGTGACGATGAAACATGCTCTATGTGCTAATCTGTAATGGAATGAACAAAAGTAAATGATATGAAATTGAAAGATGGTAGTGAGATCAAGGGAGAGAATGTTAGTTGATCTCCGTCAATAGGCCCGGGCCCTTGGATCTGCGCCCTGATCGGGAGCGCCCAACCCTAATATGGTTGGTGGGCCCCTGTCGCACAGCACTATAAAGAGAGGTGGGGATCAGGGCTCTAACTACGAGGTTGACCTGAGCCGCCGTAACCACCTACAGAGAAACACTAATCCGATCTAAAGAAGGGTGCTGCCAGCGACGGAAAGCCCCCCCGACTTCGCCGTCGCCTCTGCAGTGCCACCACCAGGATGATGTACCTCGTGTCGCCGTAGGGACTGTGACTGCACTTCATCTCCGGTCGCTGCGGGCGCACTAACTACCAAGGTACACCAACAGATGTTTTTTTACCCGCTAGATCTACACCTAGAGTTTAGAACTTTATAACAATCACGACACCTGTTTGTTCCATCCCCAAAGAAGTTGTATCTGGAAGACTCTGGGAATCTCGGACACAAGATTGACTGTAGTTCTCTCACCATCTTTCATTTATCAGACCACCCTCTTGAATCCATCGAACTGCTAATGTGGAATCTTCCGTTACTGGAGGAGCTCGAGATCAGTTTTTGTCCCTCTCTGACAATCATTACAGATTCAGAACCTATATCCACTGACCTTGGCAGAATGGTAAGGTTCCCGTTTCTCACTCACCTAACCATTGTTGATCGAGTACTGCTATAAGCTTGAAACTATCGATGACCTCATATATCTCCCTGCCATTGAGAGTATTGTGATTTCGACCTGTGGCTTGCTGTCCCTGCCAACTAAAAGATTAGAAGGTTTTCCTCGCCTGAAGCATTTGGACATTTCATGGTGTCACCGGCTTGACTGGCAAAGCGGAATGTTGTTACCATCATCTCTCCAAAAGCTCAGGTTATGGAGTTATGGGGATTTCTCTGCCTGGTTTCCCAGTTGCCTGGAGAACCTCACCTCCCTCGAGTCACTGCAGATTTGTGACTGTGAATGCATAGTGTCCGTTCATGGCCACCTATGGAGTAGTAGTCTAAAATCACTTCAGAGATTGGAAATTAAGAATTTTCCAGAGCTTAAATCAGTTGGTGGACCAGACGCAATTGCACACATAAGAGATTTATTTATTGACAAGTGCCCAGAGTTGAAGGAAATTGAACAACCACTGAGGAGAGGCTCATTTTTTTAGATTGCTTGCAAGAGAAAGTGGGCTCACGCTCTCTTTCTATGGTACGTATGTCACTTGTTTGCAGTATAAACTATGGTTACAGTTATAGAACTATGTTAGGACACTTGTGAGTGTTTCTATATGTCATGTTTTCATGAGTTAGATCATATTTATGTCTTAGCCAGTTATTTGTTACTCTTAAGCTGCTAAATGTTTCTGAAAGCATAGCAGTCCCACTACAGATTTTTTCCTCGATCGTGCCTTGGCACGTTTGTCAAGTCCCACTACAGATTGCAGTTACACTATTGCTTTCTGGATAACTTGTTGGGTTAGGTTCATGAGTGTTTGTACATTTTCCGTTATAGAACAGTCTTTTTTTTTAACTCATCGTGTTGCCTTCTTGATGTCAGTAGGTGGAAATGAGAGACGGTTGAGATGGAGCAAATATGTGCAGTGCAGGGCTCCAGTACCCAACGAGAACAAACGAAATATATCACTTTCCCTGAATGGCTGAATCCGGTTCTTATGCTCTTAAGGTTGTGTTTTCTTCCCATCGCTGCAAGATGACACGAAAAACCATTCAAATAGATTGTGTTTTTGTCATATATATGCCTAGTGTGTTCTTCTTATCTTTTTGCAATTCCTGTTTGCCGTGCGAAATGAGTGTGTGGCAGAACACAAACATAATTGTACCCTCGGTTAAGGTCCCTTTTTATGTGAATAATGTGACTTAATGCACTATATATTACAATCATATTCGTACGACCACAAAATGAGAGCTTCACACGCTCTATTATTTTTTTTTTGGTGTGATTGGTTTACTAAATCGTGACCGTCTAGTGATAGCACAAATTGAAGAAAAGTATGTCCAACATCGATTGAGCCGTTGAGGTGGTTTGGTCATGTCCAAAGAAGACCTTCAGAGGCATCAGTGTATCGTGGAGTCATAAGTCGAGATATCAATGTGAGGAGAGGCAGATGAAGACCGAAGCTGACATGGGGGAGGCAATATAAAGATATTTGAAAGGTTGAGATATAACTAGAGATTTTTGTTTGGATAGGAGTGCTTGAAAAGCAGCTATTGACGTGCCTGAAGCGTGACTAGGGGCTCATGTTGGTTTCAACTCTAACCTACCTCAATTTGCTTGAGACTAAAAGACTTTGTTGTTATTGTTGTTGACGGCACCACGGGCATTTCAGATTGGGATGCCTATTTTAGAGGCTCGTCCAATGAGGAGAATGTTTTTTTTCCTTGTTGACGAGAGAGAACACACAGGTTGTGCCCAATTTCCTTCAAGATGCGAGCTTTCAAATTAAGCACATGCCTTGTCCTGTCTGCTGTCCATACCAGATCGGGGAAAGTCTATGCAGAAGAAGGGCTACGCATCAATTGCGCTTGAGAGCTTCCTTTTTCCTCAATAGAACTATGTAATTAATGCGTTTTTTCCCTTTTATCCGTCTAATAAAAAATTAGCAAAGCTTTTGCCATCTTTCTAAAAAATCAATTGCGCTTGAGCCAACCTCCCAAAATGGGCATTTTGGAGGAGTGCGTTAATAGATGAATAAATTTCATCCGCGGTTATTAAACTTGAACGACATTTCTTATATAGATTTCCATGATCTCAAAATACAACTTTTTGACCTCTAAAATTGTTAACTATGCTATAAGGTGGAAATCATCATATTTTGCACTAAATTGCCCGTGTGGCATGCTAACTATGCGATGACATGGAGCGGACATGTAGGGCCAACAAGTAAATTTTCATCGAGATATTAGTATTCTCAAAATATATTTTTAGCACGGTAAACATTCTCATTGTTCAGCATAGTATTCTCAAAATATATTTTTAGCACGTTAAACATTCTAATTGTTCAGCATAATGTTCGAATCTGTAGAAGCTGCGTGGCATACAGACTATTCGATGACATGGGTCCAACATGAGTTTCATGTGTTAGTTTCATATCTTCTATCTTTATCCACTCTCTCCTCACTCTATTTTCACCCTTTTCTACAACAATAATGATACCTCCATCTCCACTGGCGACCCGTCCACCACCCATAGTTGTTAAAATGTGCACAGGCACTAGCGCCCGGACATCCGACGACAACAGCGCGTCTGGACGCAGCTCCTAGTCCTTGTCAACCGAACCATGGCCCAGTTCCTAGTCCCAGGCCCACCAATGATAGCATATCTCGGCATCCCACGTATAACAGAAAAAGGTGAACCGAAGCGCTACCTGCCCGCGTAACAGAAGGGGAGAGCGTGCGCTCACGTCCGCGCCGCCATCCCCCGGCGTGCTCCCTCCGCAAACCGAGAAGGATACAAGGCAGCAGAAGGTGAGGAGGAGACTCCAAGGCGAGGCAGCAGAAGGCGAGGAGGAAGATACAACATCCGATCTACTTTTGAAACATCCAAGTATAATAATTACAACATACAAAATAAGACTGATGAAATACTTGAAACATGTGTCTGAAACACTTGCAAAAACATGTAAAAAACACTTAAAACCCATTGCAAACATACGCAACATCCAAATAAAACACTTGCAACATATGTGTGAAATATATAAAACATCCAGATAAACACACATGCAAAGTCTAAAAAGACAGATAAAACATTGAGAACAGACGCTTGCAACATATTGTACAAACCATTGCAACATATCGAATATCCCGATCTACTTTTGCAACATCCGTATGAAACAATTGCAACATACCTCTGAACACATCTAAAACATACATTTGCAATACACGTTTTTTCAACGCAACATGGCGCAGATGACGCGGCGAACTAACATGATGGAGGCGGCCGCGACAGCAGATGGCGGTACCTGCCGAGGTGGAGGCGGCCGCGACAATTAGATGGAGGCGGCCCATCGTGGTGGAGTTAGCCGGTAGGCCTACCTAGGCGTTTCGCCTCGGGGACGGCGGTGAGGAAGGACAGGGCTGACTCTGCCAAAGAGCTTGGCGACAAAGACGGTGGTGTGGCCCCGAGGCGCCATCGATCCACTACAGCAGCGCGGGGTGAATCTGTGCGGGCGAGGGCGCATGGCACGTGCGGAGTGAGGCGCACGGGAAGGAGCGAGCAGGTGGTTAGGTGCATCGGATGGGAACGGGGTGGTTAGATGCGTCATATGGGAACGGGGCGTCTGAACGCTCTAAACAGAGCATTACCGTACAATGTGTGATTTTACCATGCACATTTTATGTCTTTATATATGATCCTAACTAAGAAGTCTGATTATATTCGTAGTCAGTAGAGTTTATGTTTCTATAATTTTTTATGTTTATAACCTTAACTTAATTAAGACCTCCGATTTACTATAGGCCCTGTTCGGCAGGACTGAAAAATATTGTTTCGGCTGATTGTTGTGAGAGAAAAATACTGTTCTGGCAGGACATGAACAGTGATTTCGTGAGTGACGGAACAAGCCAGCCGGCTAGCTTTAAGCCAGCCGAACACGCCAATAGGATATAAGATTTTGACAAGCTTGCCACCACCTCTCTTTCTGTCTCTTCCGTGTCTCTCACTCTATCTTCTTTTCTCGTCTAGACACCTCACAGCACCGATTGGAGCAACACGCTGGATATGATTCTCGTTCGTAGAGAGGAAGCAAAGCAAAATGTGTTTGATATGACTTTCTCTGGTCAAAATATGATTCTCGTTCGTAGAGAGGAAGTAAAGCAAAATGTTTTGATACGTAGTATCGGTGGCAAATAATTTTTCAAATAGTTACTACACATAAGGTTTGAGTCACAGTTCAGTCTCTATTTGGTTGCTATTGCATTAAAAAACTACTCCCTCAGTTTTAAATTATAAGTTGTTCTTGAATTTTTTTAGTATATTATTTTTGCTATGCACTTAGATATACATGTCTAGATATATAATAAAAGTTATACATCTAGAAAATTTAAAATAAATTATAATTTAAAATGAAAGGAGTATAAATTTAAAATATATAGAGTATAAACATGCATGACCATAGTTTTTTAGATAAACTTTAGAGCAGCTCTAAGAGCGTATCTACTTCCTTCCTTGTTGATAGAAATATAGATTTTGGTGAAAAATGTTCTCCAACAACTTTTTTAATTAGATCTCTAGATATGATTATTTATATTCTGTATTTCTTGTTAGCAAAAGATGAAGAGCAGAATTAGCTCTCTAGAGTGTGAATGATGTATAGAAAACCTATCGACGGACAAAAAAAGAGAGCGATTTTTATTCAAATGGATCTCTAAATAATGTTTCAGAGACCGACGTTAAGAAAAATTATTGACGATGCTCTTAGAGTGGAGTTTTTAGAATAAAAATAATAATTTAAATAATATTACGGTTTTAAAAAATACAAAGTTTATAGTACGCAAATACTCTATGCTCAAAATATTTTATAAAAATATATAGTTTTTTTCTCTAAAGCTCCAAAAATATTTTTGCATTCAATAGACGGACAATGACACACGACTGTCTCTAATAACCGTTACCTAAAATATAAGATCCATTCCATATTTGGGTAGCGCTACAGGCAAATGACTCAATACCTATTTTTAGTCTTCTCTATCAACAAGATCTAAAAAAGAACCATTTCTGTAAATGGGTCTATAGCAGAGAGGATACTTAAATTTAGGTTATACTAACATCTAAAATTGGTCTTCCATACAGGTACTCTGTTAGAGGCTATAGGTGTTCTGGTGGAGACCTATTTTAGATTTGGGTCTTGAGATGGGTGTAGAGACAGTCTGAGAACAAAATATTTCATAACCAAATCCATCCCTTGAAGTCACTGACTTGTGGGCCCAGAAGCCAGAGCACGCAGTTCTCATCAGACTCCCCTGAATCTTATCCCCTCCTCTGCTCTGCTTCTCCATCCTGCCTCGCCGCCCCGTCGCAGGGGAAGCGGCATTGGAAGGCCGGCGAGTTCCCGGGCACCACCGCCGGTCCCGGGTCGGGGACGCCGAGGATTCCCCTCAAGAACGTCAAGAAGCGGCTGGACGCCCGCGCGGACGCCAAGGCGTGGGCGTGCACCGTCACCGAGGCCCTCGCTGACCGCGTCAGCTCTAAGAACTGGCAAGAGGCGCTCCAGGTAAACACCACCGCCGGTTACATCTGATTTCCCCTGTTTGCATTGCTCCATCGTCTTGAAAACTCCATAGTTCCCCTGAATTGTTAGTTAGATTCAATTGTTTGTTTGAGGAAAGGAAATCGTGGCAAATGTTGTTACTGACACTAACAGCGAATTGGTACTGACAGGTCTTTGAGATGCTCAAGGAACAGCCTTTCTACCATCCCAAAGAGGGCACCTACATGAAGCTTATCGTGCTGCTTGGCCGATCAGGGCAGCCCGCCCGAGCGCACCAGCTATTCGACGAGATGTTGCAACAAGGATGCCAGCCCACCTCTGAGCTTTACACCGCCTTAATTGGGGCCTACTGCCGCAGCGGCCTACTGGATGAGGCGCTCCAGCTCCTCAATGACATGAAGCGCTCACCGTTGTGCCAGCCTGACGTCTACACCTACAGCACCATCATCAAGGCCTGTGTCGATGCCGCTAGATTTGACCTCATCGATGTTATGTACAAAGACATGGCTGAGCGCTCTATAGCGCCCAACACGGTCACGCAGAATATTGCCCTCAGTGGCTAAGGAAAGGCTGGACGGTTGGATGACATGGAGAAGGTGCTCTCTGACATGCTCGACAGCACAACCTGCAAACCGGATGTGTGGACCATGAACATTATCTTAAGCCTGTTTGGAAACAGGGCCAGGTTGAATTGATGGAAAAATGGTACGAGAAATTCCGAAGCTATGGGGTTGAACCAGAGACTCGCACACTGAACATCCTGATTGGTGCCTATGGGAAGAAGCGGATGTATGATAAGATGTCTGCAGTCATGGAGTACATGCGCAAGCTTGCGTTCCCATGGACAACCGCGACATACAACAATGTGATTGAGGCATTTGCCGAGGCGGGTGATGCCAAAAACATGGAGCACACATTTAACCAGATGCGCTCTGAGGGTATGAAGCCGGATACAAAGACCTTCTGCTGTCTAATAAATGGGTTTAGCAAAGCAGGCCAATTCCATAAGGTGGTGGGCATGGTTAAGCTTGCTGAGAGGCTTGATGTGCCTGCAAATACATCTTTCTACAATGCTATTCTTGGTGCATGTGCAAGAGCAGATGATCTTATGGAGATGGAGAGGGTCTTCAGGCACATGAAGCATACACAGTGTGATCCTGATGCTGTGACATACTCTATCTTGGTGGAAGCTTATCGCAAGGAAGGAATGACCGATAAGATTTATGCTTTGCATCAGGAGAACCCAACTTTGGTTCCAGCTGATTTTGTCATGGTTTAACTGACCCACTGACTGAATCACGGTCCAGAAATGTTAAAGCTTGGTTGCATTGGTTGAAAATCTTCTTGCTATCCACGTTTTGGAATTGATAATGCTACCAAGCAGAGTGGCAGCCATTCTCCAACTCCATTTTTTGTCTGTTGGTCTGCAGAGTTAGTATAGAGTATAGATGTCTCCTCCAGCTCAAGGGGGTTTCAGCGAGATGTGCCCACGAACCACAGTATGTATAACTCAGATACAAGGAGTTATAAGGCTCTGAAAGTGCCTCAGCAAGATTCTGTCCAGTTTGAGTTGCCAAGTATTTGAAAACAGAGGCAGTTTACTGAACTGATGAATGGGAACAAAATTGTATGTTTATCCTCCACTATGGCACTGTAATCCTATTCTTGACAAGACAGGATCTATACAGGGTTTGGGAGAATAAAAGAATTCCTAATACGATGGTAAAGTTTTCTGTGGCCCTACTCTGTACCAGATTACTTAACCTATGCCCAAATTCTTTCAGATTAATAGTTGGAACTTTTTCACATCTTTTCATCGATATATAGCCATGACTTCTAGTATGTTGCACATGTACTGAAACTTGGAATATGTATACAAAAGGGTAGGCATTAAGTTTTCTCTAACACCCTTAATGTGTAGTTTAGCGATCATATGTATTTCACCAAACAATATGTTAAGGCAGTGGATAAAATTTGATTTGTCAGATTCTACACTCTACAGGCGATATGTTGCATTCTTTTTTAATGAGGCATATCATAGAGTATTACCAACCCTGTAGCCAAGTGATAGATCATAAGGTTTTAAAATTTTGATGGTTGAGATCATCGATTTGGGATTATATAGAAATAACTATATCACTTTTATAACTATATTCCTTTTTCTTAGGAAAAGATCATGCTGATTTTATGCTTTATGCCTTTCTGCTGCAAAAGTCTCTTGATATCGAATAGAATTTACATAGTTTCAAATTAATCCCGAAGTATATTGTTAACTTAGGGGGAAGGTGTAGGCCATCAATTGAGGTGAATTTTTAGGTGGAAAAATAATCATCGAAATCGGAGTTGAAATGGAGGGATGAATGTAGAACCCCCAAAGGTTATCCGAAAGATTTAGTTCCAGAAAATACAAAGAGCAAGAACATTCCTTAGAATTTCTGAAAAATTGATTGATATTATTTACCTGAACTGTGAAATGTCCACAGTAGATGACAAGTGGGTCCAGGGCCAATATTCAAGGTGACTGGGCTTCTGGAACAAAGAAAAGGGAATGTTGGCCTTATATATATATATATATATATATATATATATATATATATATATATAACTCCACCTATGTTGTCTCAACATAGCAGGTCCCAAGCCCTGGTAAAGAAGGAGGGTTGTGATGGAGATGAAACCCGAAAGAAAATCGTTGGGACGTAACCCTCTTAGCGACGCGCCATATCGGAACCCGGGTATGGTGTTAAATGAGCAAGGGCCGGGTCGTCAACCCCGTGACGCGCCGTGTCGCGATCTGGGCACGGTGTCAAGTGAGTAAGGATCGGGTCGTCGCATCCTTAGTGGTGCGCTACATCGGCGTCCGGGTGTAGTGAAAAATGAGCAAGGGTTTTCGCATCTGAGTCGATGGGTGCGAAGGGTAAGGAAGCTACTTGATCCAACTAGGATCCGTTTAGGTAGTTGAAATATAGGGTCGCTTACAGGTAAGTTAAGGGAATTAGTTGATACCGCGACTAGGAGGCGTGTAAATATATTGTGCGTTCAAGAGACTAAATGGAAGGGTCAGAAGGCGAAGGAGGTGGACAATACAGGTTTTAAGCTTTGGTACACAGGGACAGTCGCGAATAGAAATGGAGTAGGAGTTTTGATTGATAAGAGCCTCAAGAATAGTGTGGTGGGAGTGAGAAGGCAAGGAGATAGGATTATCTTAGTCAAGTTTGTCATTGGTGATATGGTCTTGAACGTAATTAGTACGTATGCGCCCAAGTAGGTCTCGACGAGAGTGCTAAGAGATAGTTCTGGGACGACTTAGATGGCCTGATTAGAGTTGTACCTAGTAGTGAGAAGCTTTTTATAGGAGGAGATCTTAATGGGCATGTAGGTACTACAAGCGCAGGTTTCGAGACAGTTCATGGAGGTTTTGGATATGATAGTAGGAATCAGGAGGAGGAGGAAGTTCTGGACTTCGCGGTAGCTTTTGACCTGATGATAGCCAACACTTTCTTTAGAAAGAGAGAATCTCATCTAGTGACCTTCAGTAGCGAACAACACTCTAGCCAGATTGACTTTGTCCTCATAAGAAGAAAGGACAAACGAGCATGCTTGGGTTGCAAGGTGATACCAGGGGAGTGTGTTGTTTCTCAACATAAGCTTTTGGTGGCAGACTTTCGTTTTCAGGTGCGTGCCCGTAGGGATAAACAAGCTAAGATTGAAAGAACAAAGTGGTGAAAACTGAAAGGAGAGTCGTTAGAGGTATTCAGGGAAAGGGTTATCAAAGAGGGCTCTTGGAAGGAAGAAGAGGACATAAACAACATGTGGGAGAAGATGGCTACCAACATTCGGAAGGTGGCCTCAGAGGTGTGTGGAGTAACCAAAGGAAGTGGAGGCTAGACTAAAGATACTTGGTGGTGGAACGAGGAAGTCCAAAGGGCTATTAAGGAGAAGAAAGAATGCTATAGACGCTTGTACCATAACAGGAGTGTGGACAACATAGAGAAGTATAAGGTAGCAAAGAAGACTGCAAAGCGAGCTGTAAGTGTGGCAAAGGGTAGAGCGTACGAGGATCTTTACCAATATTTGAGTACAAAGGAAGGAGAGAAGGACATTTATAGGATGGCTAGGGTTCGTGAGAGAAAGACAAGGGACTTCAACCAAGTTAAGTGCATTAAGGATGAAAGGGAGCATCTCTTGGTGAAGGAGGATGAGATCCGACATCGATGGCAAGAGTATTTTGACAAATTGTTCAATGGTGAGAATATGGACACAACCTTTCAGTTGGATGACTCTTTTGATGACACCAATAGGCGTTTTCTGCGGAGAATCCAAGAATCTGAGGTCAGAGAGGTGTTGAAAAGGATGAAAGGAGGTAAGGCGATGGGACTAGATGGTATCCCAATCGAGGTGTGGAGATGCCTTGGGGATATAGCTATAGTATGGCTAACCAAGCTGTTTAACCATATTTTTTCGATTGAACAAGATGTCTGACGAGTGGAGAAGTATATTGGTACCGATCTACAAGAATAAAGGGGATATTCAAAGTTGTAATAATTACCGGGGAATTAAGTTAATGAGCCATACTATGAAACTATGGGAGAGAGTTATCGAGCATCGCTTGAGAGCAATAACACGGGTCTATATGAACCAATTTGGTTTCATGCCCGGAAGATCAACCATGGAAGCCATTTTCTTAATAAGACAAGTTATGGAGCGGTATAGGGAGAAGAAGAAGGAGCTACACATGGTTTTTATTGACTTGGAGAAGGCTTATGATAAAATACCAAGGAATGTTATGTGGTGGGCTTTGGACAAACATAAAGTCTCAATGAAGTACGTCAGGCTCATTAAGGACATGTACAACAATGTTGTGACTAGTGTTCGAACAAGCGATGGAGACACGGATGACTTCCCGATTAGGATAGGACTACATCAAGGCTCAGCTTTGAGCCCTTATCTGTTTGACTTAGTGATGGATGAGGTCACACGGGACATACAATGGGACATCTCTTGGTGTATGCTTTTCGTGGACGATGTAATGCTAGTTGAAGAAAGTCGGACAGGAGTCAATCAGAAACGGGAGTTATGGCGGGAGACTTTAAAGTTCAAAGGTTTTAGACTCAGTAGAACTAAAACTGAGTATATGAGATATGACTTCAACACTACTACTCGGAAGGAGGAAGATATTAGTTTGGAAGGTCAAGTAGTGCCTAGAAAGGATACCTTTCGATATTTAGGATCAATGCTACAGAGAGACGGGGATATTGATGAAGATGTTAGCCATAGAATCAAAGCAGGGTGTATGAAGTGGCGCCAAACATCTGATGTCCTATGTGATAAAAGGGTACCACAGAAGCTAAAAGGCAAGTTTTATAGGACGACGATTAGACCTGCTATGTTGTATGGTGCAGAATGTTGGCATACGAAAAGACGACATGTTCAACAGATAAGTGTCATGTTGCGTTGGATTTGCGGTCATACAAGAAGGGATCGAGTTCGGAACGATGATATACGTGATAGATTAGGGGTAACACCAATTGAAGAAAATCTTGTCCAACATCGGTTGAGATGGTTTGGACATGTCCAACGGAGACCTCCAGAGGCACCGGTGCATAGTGAAATCCTAAGCCAGGATAGTAACGTGAAGAGAGACAGAGGAAGACCGAAGTTGACTTGGGTAGAGGCAATAAAGGGAGACTTGAAAGGATGGAATATATCCAAAAACTTAGCCTTAGATAGGAGTGCTTGGAAAACAGCTATTCACGTGCCTGAACATTGATTGCTTTTGCTGGGTTTCAACTCTAGCTTACCCGAACTTGTTTGGGACTTAAAGGATTTGTTGTTGTTGTTGTTTATATATATATATATATATATATATATATATATATATATATATATATATATATATATATATATATATATACCCTTCGGGCTTGGGCCGAAACTAGACCTATTACGGCTTAGCTCTGTTTAGTCGAGGACCCATGTGAGCTTGCTAATGGAGCCCGAAAGCTAAAGTAGCGCCGGAACAGTGGGCTCTGCCCCGTTTCCTGGCTGAAAACAGTACAACTTTTGAAAACCCACACTCTGGACTAAAACCACTGGTAACCACTTCACCATTAGATGATATGAACTGCTAATGGTCACTTACAGTTTACTTATGGAATGAGTAGTAAGTAATACACTATGGTATATGTATGCCTTGTAAACATTCTACATACCTTACAGTTTGCCCATTCCAATAACTTGGGATACCTATGAAAGCATGCACTCATTTTATACTCCTAT